GCCTCTTCTTGATCGGCTCGACGAGGCCTCCCGCCGCGTGGAGAGAGCCAGAGCTGCTCTCGCCGAGATGGAGAAGCAGGAAGCCGAAGCCCTTTACAGTAAGCAGCTCGTTCTCCAGCTCCAAAGCCGAGAATCCGAGGTTTTCACTTTTACTTTTGTATTCGGTGCTTATACTTAAATCAATCAACTATTTGATGTAATTTATAAAGATTGATTTTATGTTGTTTTTTTCTTTTCCAAGATTGCAGCCGCCCAGAAGGAATTGGTAGAAGCTAGAGGGATGATTGAAGTGTCAGAACGGTATCTTGCGTCCGACGGATCCGATAAAAGCTTCGATTTAACTCGAAATAATGGGATAAAGAGTGAATTTGAGAGATTAGAGTCCATCAAAGCTGCATTAGTGTCATCTAGTATTGGCACTTTGGCCAGCTTGCCTCTTTCTCTCTTCCAAGCAACTAGTTTTACTGTATTTTTTCTTCACACAGCAATCATTTTTATTGGAACTGCTCTTTTTGGAGTTACTTTTCGTTACACAATAAGAAGAGATATTGATAACTTCCAGCTCAAAACAGGAACCTCTGCTGCTTTTGGTATTATCAAAGGTGTAATTTTGGTTATTTCTTTTGTTTTTTTGTTTTTTGTATATATATATATATATATTTTTGTTAACAGGTAATCACTTCGTCCAATCCAATTTTGCAGGGCTTGCTGAATTAGAAGCAGGGAATCATCTGGAGCTAAGCAAGACCAGTTTATCACATTTTATTGATGTTGCATTGTCTGTTTCAGAGAGTTTCATTATATTTTTAGTTGCAGCAATTGCCTTGGACTTTTGTTTCAAGATGAGGATTCTGAGTCCTTTCCCTATAGAGGAGTAGACTGTGTTGATTCGTGTTTGGCGAAAGCTGGCAGCGGTGGTGGTGAGGGAGACGATGGCATTGATTCGTGTTTGGCGAAAGCTGGCAGCGGTGGTGAGGGAGACGATGGCGGCGTCATATGTGGTAGGTTCTTACCATCATGAACTCTAGCGGAGGCTTAATTCATTCTTTAGGGCTTCAAACTTGTAAAAAAGTTTTTTTCGATGAATGAAATTAGGGTCTATTTATAATTTTTTTAAGAGAAGTTTACTTGCATACCACACAATGCTTATGCATTTACATATATAAAACCCAAATTTAGATATTTACAATTATAACTCCTTGGTGTCATAAACCTATGCATGAAAAGATTATTTCACTTTTAAAAATATAGTGATAGTGTTATTTTTGATGTGATGTTAAAGATTCGAGTTGTATTCTTGTAGACATGAATATTTAGTTGTTAGGTATGGAAATACATAAGAATTGTGTTGTATGAATGCAAATGACTCTTTTTTTTAAAAGGTTAATTTGTTTATATCTGTCTCAAATTTGATGCATTTGTAGCTAATCATTAAAGCTCATTGCCATGTTATTGATATATATGCAAATTAGGATTTTATTTGTTATCTTCTTTAGTTTTTTGCATCTACAAGAAAGTTAGGCTTTTTAGATGGATCTTTAATGTTTTAGTTGCTTTTGTATGTGTCAATGGATCTTGCGATCCACTCTAATAAAAAAAGTAAGTTGAAAACCAAATCTAAAGGTTTGTAGAGGTGTTGTGTGCCTTGAAGCTGGGGAACCTTCTTGACAAACTTACTCATTTTTTTTAGCATTTTTATGTAAGAGTTGCCAACTCTAATTTCATTTTCTATTTATCCAACCCTTTAAGAGTTAAATCTCCATGAATTCCTTTGGGGGAGTTTGAGGTGTTGGATCATTGTCATATGTAGTCTAATTATAAGTTTTGTTTCATATTTGAACACTTTATTTATGTAACATTCTTATTTTGTCTCTTAGAACAATATGGCTACCTTCCATAAGCTATTATATTCACATATAATCACTTTCCATGTAGGATATGAATTCATAGTTTTGATGTTTCACCCATATCTATCTTTTCAAGTTGATTACACTAAAGTTTTGGGTGCTTTCATTGAGGCCCTTTTTGGCCTTACATAGTTATTTGACATGCCTAATGTGGAGCATTGGTACTAAAAGACTCGTTGTAGAAAGCTTGAACATGAGGTTATTGAACTCTTATAATGAGCTTTCGTAGAGGGAAAAAAATCCTTATTTTCTTATAATGAGCCGACAAATGCAATATGCACATTCATTAAGGTTGATGAGTGGGAACATTGATGAGAGAATCATGTTTTGGAGCTCTTTATAAGCCATGAAATCAAAGAACCTATATTTGAGCATCTCTTCAAGTTGCCCTCATTCCGATGAGAATTTATCGACGTACTTCATCAAAAGGGTTTAGTGTCAATTGATTTTAGGGGCAATTACATATCACTCAAAACATTGCTTTTTGCAAATCTAGCGCTCTTTCATTTATTTTTTAAATGCTCGCTCAAATATGAAAATTCATGATAAAAACCTTATCCATGTTTTTCATCTCAATCTTATTCTCAATGGTTTGATTGTGGCATGTGAAAAAACATCGCTTGGTCGTTCAAAAAAGTACCATGGTGTTAGTTTTGTAAATAACAATATTTTGAGTGTTTAGTATGTTATTATCCATTGATTTATAGTAGAGTGAGGGTGGTGGAAAGATTGTGTTACTAGTAATTTTTACCGCTTCCACAATAGTTGAGGGAGAGGAGGCATAAAGGTGCTATGTGTTATTGGAGAGCGAGCTTTTCATAATTAGAAATTGAGCATAAAGATTCATGATTATGATTAGGGCTTCTTTATTTTTCTTTTTCTTTTTTTTTATAGTGTATTTTCTTATACTTTTATATATTTTTGTTAGTTAGGGATTTATAACTAATTGCATACTTGCCCTTTTTCTAATCTTCTCCTCATTTTGATATTGAAATTGAACATTTAATAAACTACAACTTATCATGGTTGTATACACCAAAAATTCAAGCACAAATTTCAAAGAGAACGAATGACCAAGTTGAAAGAGCCTGTTCAACGGTGAATTCTCAATTTTGAGGTTAGGGGATCATAATTTACTTATATGTTGTCTCCCATGACTTTCATATCTAGAAAATTCTCCGTCAGGCGCTCCCGGTGTAAATTAGAGTTTTTCAGGGCTGACCAGTGCCTAAAGCCCAAATTGCTTTCCCGGATGGTTAAAACCGAGCCCCTGGAAGTCTGGCGTTTAGGCGCCCAAAACTGCTAAAAAATGGTCATTTTTCCGAGCTTTTGGAAAGTAGACGTCAGATTGGGCGGCTGGTGCCAGAGGTCAGGCGCCTAGTCGCCGGTCCACTTCTAGAACATGATCTTTGAAGCCGATTTGACCTGGTGCACCCCCAATGAGCTAAAATGGAAAGGATTTCCTTGGTTTTGTTGGATTTGCTTAGGGGGGAGATAAAGAGCGTGATTATACTTCTTTTAGTCCTCTGTTGGAAGCTTCCAAGGTAAGCCGACAAGGCTATTTTAGGCAAAAATGGAGGAAATGAGGGCTATTTAACTTATGTCCCTTGAGCTCCCCCATTTTGAGAGAATCTTCTCACATTAGCTTTTTTGGTCTCCTTCTAGAGCTGAAAACCTTCTTCTTCCCTTGGAGCTTGGAGCATCATCTTCTTCTCTTGGAGACCTGAGAGCTTGGAGCAAGAGAGGGAGGCTAAAGGGGTTAGTATCTTCAACTTTTTGGTTCTTCTTCCTCTCCCCCTTCATCCT